CAATTCTTGTGGACCGATGCAACTGGAATGTGTCAGTAAGCGAGCGAGTGGGAGAAAAACAAGACGGAAATACGAAAGATGAAAAATTGTAGAACTGAAATACGAAAACCAGAATCACGCGAAAAGGGTGACTGGGTGCTTCAATCGATATACAGACTGAGTTGGAGAGTACACAGTCAGAGATAAAGTGTTTTCTATCCCCTCATACATAGGTGATAAGTGCTTTCCAGGTTTTATTATTTTATTTCTATTAAATACCTAATCGTGATGAACAGCAGATGAGGTAAACCCCCACAGTCACTACTGTTCAATGATGGAAACCGGAAACCTAAGCCCCGAGACTTGGAGTGGCGAACCACATAAGACCCCGATCAGTTAGGCGTGGTATTGAACCGGACGGCAGCGGAGCTGCCTACCACCAAAGTCAGGTGGCGGTGGCGGAGTTCGAACCTCAAACCATAGGGTACAAAGCACACCTGTGATAGCGACTAAACCACTGCTTCATGGACCCTAAACGAACGCTGATTTCCATAAACGCTCAAGACAAAAACACAGAGCATAAAGGTAGAATTAAGAGATACACCGTGGAACCATACGATGGAGAAATATTTCCGAACAGAATAAATAGCTCTATTTTTACTCCAATCACCGTAGCAGAATATTTTTCCCTCATCTGTTATGAACACCAAATGGTCTTCTGATTTGACCATGAACTACCCCAAGCAGAAGTCATGCCCAAAAGTATCCCTTTCTCTCTCTCTCTCTCGAATCAAGCACATTAAAAAAACGGCAGATTAGAAGCAATGTTGTAAGCAAAAATAGTGTTGTATGAATCTGGGAAACGTGATCGAATTTCAAGGTTAAAAATGAAGCGAACACATGAACAGTTCCGAATTCTCTTGATATCAACCATTACTTATTTGGTCACAAAACCTTTGGCGGTGATCGACTTCTAAAAAACCGTTCCGAAACTCGATGGACAGAAATTAGGTGAATGTGATTGCTTCTCGTACTTGGGTAGTTGCATGTAGAACGACGATAGCGCCGCCCACATTTCCAATGCACGAGCAGGATACGCCAGACTAAAACATTTGATGACGACTTGACGTTTCACTGAGGTTGAAAAGTAGCGTATACTATGCTACTGTGAGATCAGTTCAACGTTACGATTGTGAGACTTTGAATTTGCAGATAGAAGACATCCGTCACTTATCGGTTTTCGAAAATCAACGCTGACGTGGTCTGGTCTCGGCGGAACGGTGAACGGGTTAGTAACCCAGAGTTAAGTCGTCGAGTGTTTGGAATGCATTGCAAATGAACTCACCATCGGATCGAATTCAGCTTAATGGGCTCGGTTGGTTAGAACACGTTTACCTATGTCTAATGGTTGTCTACCGCAATGCGCCAGATTGGAGAAAACCACATGGAGGCCAGCCAATGAGATGAAGATGAGAAATGCTCTGGGCGATTAGGTTGTGTAGACGTCTCTTGTCTTCCTAGATATGGTCCAACAGACTCCGTAACTAGATGGTTGGAGACCAGGATGCTTGAAGAAGTGAGTATGCACAGTTG